GTAAGAGGATTGATGTGGGAGCTCCTGATTCATATACGTGTGTGTATGGATGTGTATGGATGGGGGTATGGAGTACATTATATTCCATCGCATCGCATCATATCGCACATTTTCTATGTTTGTATCTGTACCTGTATCCGTACCTGGATTATACCTCATCTCCATTTCTGTTCAGTTATAGACGCATATGCGCATATATTCGTACATGCATATATTATGATTTCCCCGCATTTTGGGTAAAAAGGGAGGAGAGGAGAGAGGGGAGAGAAAAATAATAAGATAAGATTGAAATTATTTCTTGATGTTTTCTAAGGGGATGGATGAATGGGTGAGCGGTGGTGAGAATTGAAAAGGGGGGTTGAGAAAGGGGGGTTTAGAGGGGGGTTATGACAGAAGGAAGCATGTGTTAGGTGTATGTTTTACTTGGAGTAAAGGGAAATTTGAGATGTGAATGGTTAATGATGAGGCGATGTGAGTATGGTGAGGTGAGGTGAAGTGTAAGTTTCAGATGTATATAATTTTTTATGGACGGTACATGCAGAAGAAGTACGTTTCCATCTCATACAAATCAACAATCCAATGATTTAGTTGTCGAAAATGTGAAAACTAGGTAATTTAGGTTGATGATGCATCGGTGTATGAATCTATCTCAACTCATCGCATTGTACGGTAGGTATCATATCGTATCGTATCGTATTGTAAACATCGCATTGTGTTGTATTGTACTATATATAATATCATAGTCAACTATTCATCTATTTAATTTTTGATAACTTATATGATTCCTCGTATAAATATGATAATCCTCCGTATAATAGTCCTATAGCATGAAATATCTACTCAAACAATACTCTATCCTTCCCTCCTCCCGTCAACCAAAAAATAAACCCGTACGTAACCGCTCCTCTTATTTTCCCATTTTGACTTTTTAAATTTCCTTGCTTGCTTGCTCGCTCGCTTGCTTACCTACAGTGTACGAAGTAAAACAAACTAATGCCAAGAAACCCTCGCTCGCTCCCTCCCTCCCCCGGACCCCGCATTGTCCGGCGTGCCGGCGCGTGGAGATTGTAAGTTGTGCTAATGATTAGCTAGTAATTAGCTTTGTACGTGGTGTTTTGATGGTGAGTTTGTGGTTTGGGTTCGGGCTTGGGGGGGAGAGGGAGAGGGGTTGGGGAGCGAAAGAGGAAGTTGGGGATTTGTGATTTCAATCGTATTTAGGTAGAATGAATGTTGGAGATGGGAGATTGGAAATCTAGAGATGGATGTTGTGTATACCTATTTGTTGTTTTTGCTGAATAAACGCAACTGGCTAGGTACTTGAAGTTAGGGTTTTGCGGGAGTGGTTTTTAAAGTGTTGAGAATTCTGGAATCCTGGGGGTTGGAGAATCTGAGATCTGAGGGTTAGTAGGTATTAGATGAGTACCTACCTCGAGTCTGTTTACCTAAGTATCTGGTTCTATAGAGATGAAGATGAAACGAAGATCAGAATCTGGGGAATATCAGATGACTCTTTTGTGACTTGTTAGTCGTGTGGATGGTGTTTGTGACGTACTCTTGGGTTTGGATTTTGTGAGGTACGAGTCATGATTATAATGCTACATTTGTTGAATGGTTTTGGTGGGTTGGAAAAATGGTAGGGGATGTTTTGTTTTAATATTGTGTACTTGTGTGTTTTGGCTGCTCGCCGGGGGAGGTAAGTGTACTCTTATATCCCGTGCATGTGTTCTTTTGTTTTGATGTGAAAGAGACTGATATTGTGCAGGTTGATGAAGGAATGCTCTTATTAGAGTCTTTTCTATGGAAGTCTATATGTAGAATCTTAATGTTGTATTGTAAGATTTCATAAGACAAGTGAGATGTATCGAGTCGGCAGTTTAATAGATAGACAGATATATTTATGTGCGTTTATTCGGGACTCTCTCGTTGCTTTACAAGAATGGTTTCGTGCGTATATTCAGTATTATCTCGCTGTCTTACACGAAGGACTGTTGCAATTTGCGTTTCCTCCTAATTGCGCTTGATTTCATCACAATCTTAGAACTGCTTCTTGTTATGAACTTCAGGGGGGCACGTTCAAATTTATTCTATATTCCCCGAAAACCCAGTCATGTTCATGGTTGTATGGTACACATAGAATATCACTAGATAGTCTACACTTCCGCTTGCTCCCACAAATATCACTCTTCATTCTCTCCTCCAGACTGTTGTGCAACACTTCCTGTGTGTGATTTGGCACTCGAAAGAACACGATTTATGCTCCGTGTCCACGAAAGCTGGCAACATGTCATCGAATATTTTCCAATGAGGTCGTGGCGTTGGTATGAATGGTGCTTGTGGGCTTCGAATACTGCTGGTTCCTCTCTTCGTATGATGGTAAGTCTTTTCATTCAAGAAATGATGAGATCTGTGTAGTCTTTGTAAATTGTTTGTGAGACATTACCCTTTTTTAGGGGCGGCAGCATCGCGATATGCAGATAATATTGCGCGCGTATTTGTACTAGGTTTGCGCAAAGTATTGATTGATTTTCGACGTTGATTTTGACGTTGACGTTGGCCGGTTTAATGAAGGTTTCGAGATCAGTTAGATGTAGCTATGCCTAAGCCAATATCCCACGGTCAGTTTTGTTGATATTGGTCAGACTAGCGTGTTATTATTGTACATATTCATGTGCATCTGGGACCCTTACTTAATAGTTGATAATTAGATGAGTTATTTGTGGTTAATAGCTTTGTATGCGAAGGGCTTTGCATTGCACGTGAAACTGCTGGAGTCTGGGCAGGGCAAGCGAACTCTCTGCAAAGGCGTGCACGATAGATGAGTTTCATACCGGCGAGGATATTCTTACGCTTGGTTCCATACAGTCAGTTGAGTTATCTCTCCTTTTATAAGCCTATATGTGTTGGCCCAGGGCCGGGCATCGCTGCACATACAACAATGACTGCCACAGCGGAGAAGATGAGATATCGGACTAATATATATAGCGTGTCTCCCTTGTAGTTGGGATTGGTTTGGTAGTATTGGTGAAGCTTGTTCTGATGTTGTGCGAGTGGGGGCCGGAAATTCTTGAAAGCCGATGCTACTTTTGAAAGGCGGAGTAGTAAATGCGAGTCTCGTGGGAACTGGTCTAATCACCAATATGTAAGATTCTGTAGGGCTATGAAAGTTGATTGATTTAGGAGAGTAATGGATGCGCCATCACTATAAAGGAGTTGGGTTGCAAGTGGATGTGTATATAGAGATATCACTCGTGAGATGCAAGTTGGACCAGTCGCTCTGTGAGTTGCTGTCTCTATTTTCTTTTCTAAAAAATGATCTGCAGAATCGTATTTTATTAGCTTACCATTTTCTGAGAACCTGTTGAAGAACCGACCATACTTTGCAGTTTGATACTTCTCTGCATATTCGATTAAAGGAAAATAGCTCGTTCATTGAAAAGTCTCGAATCATTGCATCTGCTTATACCAAAGTTTTAACAACTTGCACATAAAATAATTGACACAGGCCTCTGGTTTTCCGAGCTTGTGCTGGGGCTAGGTGAAGAAGCTGACTCCGATTGACTCCTGGAGCTTTTTGGTGGCTCGCTTTAGTATCTGCTTGCTAAAATCTTGGAAGTGACGAATGTTGCTATCGCCGTGCCGTGGTATGGCAATCAAGTTGTTTGGAATGATTGAGCCGTGGGTATATACGTTTATATTGCAAGGCATGCAGTATCAGGTACAAAGTAACCTAATTTTATAAGCCAAAGCCACTTTAGATTGTAGCATATGTTAATAGATTCACTTCCGAAGGGTTTTCAGCCAAGGACCAGGGTGCTGAGGATAAAAGTATTGAGAATTACCATATGAAGACAAGATGACGCAATAGATATACAGATACATTGGCCTAATAATAAAATTACATATTCTACGGAGTTCATCATTTCGTAACAACTTCAACATTGTTTGTTGTGTTCTGTCAATGAGTCAAGGTTTGTGAGTAGAAAAACATACTTTACCCCGTATTTCGCTCGGTTATAGCCGAGAATTGAGCAAAGCAATTGAACTAATCTCACAATACCAAAGTTCAACTATTCACAAACAAAAATGCATGAAACAAACTACTTACAAAGAAATCTATTGAATGAGTTGTCATTTGTTGTGAGGTGTCAGTTTACTCGAGTTGTTTGATCCTGCTTTGATTTTTTGAGATAGTAATTCATAAATTATAAAAAAATCAACAAACCTAGGTCTGGAAGGACACTTCCAATTTTTTCAACCTGATTGAGCTAAATGGCTCATCCTATCAGATTAACAACGCAAATTGGGATCTAATTGATTAGTAAAGCTTGCCGACCACTGAATACCCATGTCAAGCACTGAATTCCCAGGCATGCAACAATTAAGAGGTACTTATTATTTCTGCTAGACTTGGACACGGGATCTTGATGTGGGAAGTAATGTGGAGAACCTCTTGTATCTATTCTGGTAACTAGGCAGGTGATTAAACTAAGAGAATATGCCTTTGTGTTGCTCGTCTGAAACTCTGGTGGCGTTCTTAAATGAGCTAGTCAAAGGTACTTTCCGTCATGACCCGACTTGATCTGTATTCAATATACTAGCGCGAAATCTCTCGAAAGTAGATGAATTTTACTGGCTACCTAGCACATTTGAAAGCCCCACAATTCTTACAGATATGCAACAGAAGAGCTTGAGGTAATGATTAGCTCCCCGGGTACCTGTGTCATGTGCTAGACAGCCCTTACGTGAATCTGAAGAGCCAATAAAAGCTTCAGAAAGGTTATCGCAGCCTCATAGGGCTTTAAGAATAAGAGATGGGACAGAAGTTCAGATATCCAAGGCGGTTAGCGCAGTTATTTTGACCGCTTGGATAGGATTGGTTGAACTTCTTGGTAGATAGACGTTAGATTCTTGAAAATTGCCAAAACAACCACAAATATTTTGAATCAGTTCAAAATCCTCGAAATTGACAAATCAAAGTCAACCTCCACTAGCTCATCGCAATGGGCCAATTCTTTGCCAAAATGGTATTGGTGCTTCTCGGTGTCGGTTGTGCTCTTGTATGTGTATATTATTGAATGCTTTTAGGACAATTTCAAGGGCTTTTCGCAAATTTGCAGCAATTAGATTTGAATTTATACTAACGATTGGTCGCTTATTTTCTCCTATACTACGTCTGCCAGAAATGGGAAGAGCGTCGCAACGATCGACTTGCCAACGAGGCCTACAACTATGAGATTGGAAGATTGGAAAGCGGCAGTGCTAGTTTGGGTGGTGGTGACGGCCACAGAGAAGGAGGAAGTGCTGCCGGAGAAAAAAATGAAAGCGCTACTGCTGCCGGAGCTGGTGGATTTCTGGGGGGAGAAAATAGTGGTGATGTTGGTTTGACTCGCACTCTACCTTTGGAGGACTGAAGACTACTGTTGGAGGGGTATTGGTGGAGCTCTAGAGGGAGAGTGCAGTGGGGATATTGGTATGGCTCGCACCCTGCCTTCGGAGGGATAAAGGATACTGTTCTCTTCTGCGCCTGCGTGCAAGGAGACTTGCTTTATTTCACAATCCAATCTTCCTTCCCACCCGCAACTTTTATGATCAGATTTCTATGTGTTTTATGGTGATATTGACAGCAAGCGATTGGTAACGAGAGCTACAGATCGACGGCAAATAACATGAGGGAAGTTCTGCGGACTATCAAAGAAGTAGGACGAACTACTGTAAAGGACTTGAATACTCAACATTGGCATCTTAGCAGCTTCTGTAAGGTAACAATGAGCGACTACAAGAAGCCAATGGTAGACAATAGCTCCCAGTAAATTTTAAGTTAGACAAAGCTAACAACTACAAGAGGTTTAGCCACAGAACAAGTGTAGCCTCATTAGCTTCGATTAAATTGGCTGGGTATTTGAAGGAATTCCATGGTACTGAATGATATCATGCGAAGACTTGATGAGAAGGAGCTAACAATTACAAAGACTTTGAATATAGCAAATACTACAATTTTAACAACTTTTGATAAGACAATAACAAGAACTACCGAGAGCTGGTCTTCCAGGCCACATAGACAGGCATCTCATCAAATACCTACTCTCAGCAGAAACATGATACTCCAAAAGCAACAACAAATTTGACAAGCCGTTATCAAAACAGTACTGGAGCTGTATCACTCATTGCAGAAAGAGTTCTTATGCCACAGTAGTACAAGGATAAAGAAAGTTGAGATAGAATAGATACATTTTCGAAACCAAGAATAAAGCCAAATCATATCCAGTCGAAAGTTACTTGCAATGGATACACACATTCTCAAAACTCACAACAATATTTTTGAAGTTAGAGTCGAGAGAGTGTTGCAAGTGGATCATAAGTTGTTGAAAAATGGTGGATTTAATTGTGTCTCTCGTCGAATGTGGTTGGAGTTGGAACTGCTAGATGTGCAAAATAAGAAAGACTTTTGCACTCTGCAGACAAAATTCAGACATTGGCACAGATATACCCCTTAGTGGTAGATAATGATGATAGAAATGACAGACTGGCGTGGTTGTTGGTACATGTAGATCCTTTGATTGATAAAAGAACAATGGGACTGTGAGATTGTGTTGCCAGATGCAGATTTGGGTGTATTTTCTTATGTTATAATAGCAGCATTTACGTGTTGAATCTGAAGTGATAGGACTAAGAGCTCAATTGAAGCCTGGATTTTCAACTCCGAGAGTAATTGCTCTGGATACTTGGCCTTCTGCACGCAATCCTCATTTCACCTTTGTCTCGCGGACCTGCTTGCAATTACTCAGGAGTCGATGTTAATAAATCTCGGCTTTACAATCCTAAGATTGTCCATGGCTGATACTTTTCCCACGTAATTGCATTATATCAAGATACGATGCAACGATAACGAGTCCGTCGTGAGCAGACTCGGTCATCGGAGTCTCCAGTAACTTCCATCTCTTGGAACCTCAAGCCGCTGCTGATGCCGTTGTGATGAAGTCTCCACGTTTGATCGGCAAGTCCTTGAAACAATGAGAGGAAAGAGGATTCTTATGGTCAAGAGATTCTCCTCCTCAGAAGATCGAAGAAGAAAGTCGTGGATAATCACGAATGATGTATCTAGGTTAGTTGCTGGCGGATATCATATTGTTAACTGCCAAATACACAACGCAAAATCATTTCCGGCAAATTGAGTTCCCATTTCATAGCAAGAAGATGTAAATTGTTCCTGCCAGAATTAGCCCATACCCAAATTAGATCATTGCTCATTGGGAAGGTAGCTAATAAGAGATGGTGTCAGAGCGTCTTCGCTTCTTCAATCATTTAGGCTTCAGCTGTCCTTCTTCGACATCAACACCAACCAACGGTTAGTCTCTTTTCCTTTCCCATTTCCATCATGGTTTCAATTGAAACCGCATGATTGATGTTGCGTGTCTGTTTTCTGGGACGGCATGGATGGTAATACCCGAGACATGTAATCAGCCACCTCAATTGTTTGCGCATGTAACCTTCCCTGCACATCGCTATCCAGGGTTGCACAGACTCGCTCGGGAACCCTATACATACTTCACTACAACAATCCGCTAACTTGCATACTTCATAGTTTTTCGAAGATTTCCAATCGACATGGCCTCTTACGATAAAACCCCTGCGACTACATGAATTAATGTTTCGGCGATACGGACTTCATCCTCCAGTTCTTCGATTGTGCCGCTGTCAACAAAAATTCTTCCCCTTGTCTAGAAGTGTGTCGCACATAGGTATATACAAGGCAAGTGGGTGGGTAACATTCAATAAGCAATTGGCTCAGCTATATCACTCTCGAATTCCCTTGCAGAAACACTACAAGGCTGCCTCGAATGCCAATTACAAAATTTGGACTTTAGTCTGGACATATCCTACAGGCCTGCGAAGCACCAGGTTTCATATTCTCCTATCAGTAGCAATCCCTAAGAGCAAGCACCAGTCTTCAGTACATAGCTAAATGGGCACTTTTCTCAACTTCCAACTTACCAGCGCTCCATCACGGTGCTCACTTTCCAAACCTCCTCAAGATTGAAACAACTAACGAGTCCTGTAGCTCCATCTTATCTGCAAAATTTTACGTGGGCCTCTTAATAAGAAGTTACAGCGAAACCCCGATTTGATCCAAAAATCTGAGTTCGGTATGAATCCTTCACATCAATTATTCACCGCAGAAACCGCACTTCATAAAATTCGAGAATAAGATTGGTACCAACAGTCTATCGCTGTAGAAATCTGAAGGTTTTCGTTGCCTCTGATGTCATCAAAGTCCTCTGCCATTCTGAGGTCCATCCGAAGTTCAAAGGGACAATGAAAGCACTTCCGGAAACCTCCGATCTTCTGCTCAATATTCCACGTGGCAATAGCCAACAATCGTGTCATAATACCATGACCCATCCCCCTCCCCTCCCCCCTCGTGGTTGAACAAGATTTTGGGCTTGCGTTGAAATGACTGCCTGACAGCGCATGATTACGAATAATGGTGCTTTCAGCAACTGGCGCTCCTATGGCCAGCAGACACCAGGCAAGGAGCGCTTTACTCCTTGCTCTTTATATACCATGGCAATGAATCATAGCTGGACAAGGTCACTCTTTAACATACGGTGATTGTCCATGACATGAAAGCTCTGGGGTATATATAATCCAGCGCCTGTGATTGGGACAAAAGTTTGATCCAGAGAAGAATCACAGAACGACTTCATCAAATGAAAAACACCGAGGTCTCGAAGCGTCCTCCTCCTCCTCCTCCTCATTATATGGCAGGTCGAGAGTCTTCCGGTTATTCTTGCAGTTGAAAAAGCAACCACAGCCTGATTATCTCGCACTGACAAGATAAAAGCTTGTTCTGGCCAAATCAAGTAGACCGCTGCTTCAGACCTGTCTACGAAAAGTTTTCGTGTGCCTAGAACCATCATAGTCTGTACCATAAATTGATAACTAGCCCATTCATAGATGATGAATGAAGATCGCAGGTAGTCGCGACAAATTGGACAATATCTATGAGCCGGTCCTGACTTACGTACTGGATGTATGTTTTCCGTTTTCTAGTAACAAACCGCAGCGGCTTTGGATCTTGGCTCGCGGATTGACGACATTGTCGGTGCGAGAATAATTATCAGACTATCAATACCAAGACCTCATGAGATTCTGTTTTTGGCAGCCGCCATATCTCCCATGTTATTCGGAAGCCTCTCGTCAACAATTTTATTAAGTGCTTCTCGGTGTGTACTGCCCCTTCAAAGCACTCAGGTTCTTTTATCTGGGCAAGAATATTGTACCTCTGGGCATGTGAACTTAGGCTTGCTGTTGCAGAGCAGAAATATGGGTCTCCTCGTGCTTTTCCAAGAGTCTCTCACATTTCATATCGAAAACTGCAGAAAAGTAATCAAGAAGTCTTTGAGGGATGAGATCATTCTGAATCCAAGTGGTTCCAAACTCAACAGTATTGCGCCTCTCCTCTATCCCCGCACTTCAGAAAGTATACCAAATTCTAACTCGAGATACTTTTGCTGTATCGATTTCAGCTCGGCCTCAAATTATACCATTTAAAGCCACATAGACTGAAGATATGTGACAAAAGTCCTTGTGTTGGTGATCATTTATGGCCTAGTGGCTTTAAAAGGGGTCTTGGTTCTTATACTATGTTCAAGTCCACATAGACTGACCCTTGTAGCCTTGATAAGATATGTAGAGGCGCGCATATGTTTGGATTCTGTTCTTTTTTTTTGCCACAGAAAATCCTTTACAGGCTAATCCTAATAACATAAACATAGCGATAAGATGATGCTCGTTTGGCTTTCAAGGATTCAATATCATATTTTTGCGAAACCCCTATTTATAATCCGAATCACAGATGATGACCAAGAGGATAGTGGCTATCTTAAGCCTTTGGCCTGGAAGTTCGGATCGAAGATTCACCAAGTGTCTATACGCAAACAGCAGCAGATTTGAAACCTTGGATAGTTTAGCGTTTGAGCTTCTCATAGTAGCAGGCAGTTACATGAATCAACGAGTCTTTGCTTCTAAAAATACTGGTTATAAACCACAGCTGCGATGACCTCAAAGAGGTATGCGACACACGCTTTGGACCATGCGAAGTATACCTGCCCCATGATAAATATATAACAAATGTGTGTGCGGATTGCGAAGGCGTAAGCATGTACAGAAAGCTCTTCTGACTGACCACATTCGATTATGACATGTAATCGCAGAATTCAATATTTTTAGAGAATTTCAAGCTGTCAGAGATATACTCCCAAACGGCGTTCTAAACATGAAATTCACAGATAAGACATGCAACAAAAGGTTCACTCTATAGGATTCTCATCTAAATATTGACTTGGACCATCTCAATTGGTCGGGTTGGAATGCCCCTTCGCAGAGTAGAGGCTGAGAAGACCTCGGCCCCCTCATGTGATAAATTCTCAGATTCACTCGAAGTCATTGCTGCTAGTTCCTTGGCAGTAACGAAAAAGATGTGCTAAGCCCTAGTTCCAGTCAATTTCTAAAGTGCTTACACCTGAGTTGATTTTGGCCTTGGCTACGTCCTTTCTCGACCTTACAACTACCTCCAGATGAAATACTTCAGTACTTTCAACACGCTACTTCCTTTTCTGAGCTTTCCCGTCTCCTTCTATCATAGATAGAGCTTCCTAAAAGCAAATTGCCCTACTTCCTCCCATTTTTCTGTACAAATTTTATTGCGTTTTGATTGCTGTGGTTACATCCTCAAATTGTAACTTTCTCAAATTCGCAACTTCAGATCGCAACATACAAACCAGAAACCTCAACATCCCTTTTTGCATTTAAACGGTAGACACGTTGATTTACGGGTTTGACCTGAATACTCAATAGTTCTATCACTAGTTCTATCGCACTATTTGTACGTATGTCGATACTCCTCACCTCATTTATTTCGGTATGTCTGCTATCACATCACATTGCGCTCCTTGTCAATGGTATCAACAAACATCAAACTTGAAAACTCTTGAATCATTTTCTTTTAGGAGAAATTGATCAAAGCAGCGTGTGCGTTTGCTGCAGAGTACTAGTTTATGTTTCTAGCAACTTCTACCTCCACAAGTACCCTTGATCCTCAACTTACAATTACATAGGCCTTCAAGTAATTTCTCAAAATCCTTGGAAGTAAGGTAAGCTATCCAGATTCTCATCGTTGTCCCTGCAGCTTGCCCCTGTTTTTAACAGAAGAATTGTGGTCTGTGGCTTACCGCAAACAAGTGCAGCTATCCGCAGGCTTCCAACCTTATTTGGAAGAGCAAACGGAGAACTTTCTTCAGAAGCTTTCATCAAAGCTCTAGAAGAATCCTTATTAGAGGTCTGTTCCATCCATTATTCTTTATCCTTGTTATTATTCTTAAGGGTGTTGACTAATTCGATTAATCATTTTCCAGGATCTCCAACAATCTTAATTCGAAACTTCGCGAATATACACCCGTTCGTACCTTTAGTTTTCAAATCCTCTTCATATCCTGATATTTCAATCTCTATCAAACACTCAACATGTCAACTCAAGTCAAAACATGTTCTAAAACCAACCCTTCCAGCTCTCCTGAGTCTTCTCACGAGCGTTGTGACGCAGTTGATGCGATCGATACAGAAATGGTTTCACCGCTAACCCCGATCGATAATGATAGTACCCGTTGTCTTACTCCCGAAAAGATGGATCCTTTTCATTCTGCTCGCGAGCGTGAAGAACGTATCCGTAGAAACGGAACAGTGCCCAGCCAAATCCCTATTCAGAACATGGGTATGAACAACAACGGCAACGGTAACAGCAACGGCTGGCGCCGCCCATCTATCTGCGACCCGGCCTACCTAGGTCCAGAAGGTTTTACTCCACTAACCATGGTTCGCCCTGGTCCTGTCTATCCTCTTCCTGAACAAATCAGCTCTGCTTTTGCTTACGGCTTTTGCCGAGCTGATGGCTCTTACACAAGACTTCTTCCAGCTGATGAGCTTCCCGATCTTAATGGAATTCCTCGTCACCAAGGTCCAGAAGGACTCATCATTGTTCCAGAGCTTCAGCATGGCTCACCAAAGCCAGAGTTTGGTACTCCTATGATTCCGAACAAGGTACGTTAAAAGCATTATGTTTTCAGGTGGTGTGTTGACATAAGTTGTTAAGGTCGTAGCAAAGCTTCCACCGCTTGGCCCACCAATGTTTGGAGTCAATCAGCAAGGTGGTTTCCGTCGACCAGGAGATCAAACCCAGGTAAGAGAATATAATCATTCCAAATATACCGACAATGGAAAATATATACTGATTTCCCTTTCAAGTTGGCGATCGACTCTATCGTTGCCTCAGCTGTCTCTCCCCCTGCAAGTGCTTCTCCAGCAAATAATGCAATGATTCCTATGGGGGGTCCATTCCGCCGAGAAAAGATCTACTGCGATAAGTGGGTTCATGAAGGCACTTGTGCTTTCACTCAAGTTGGCTGTAAATACAAGCACGAAATGCCGATGGATAAGGCGACCCAAGTTTCTCTCGGTCTTAACCATGGAGTTCCAAACTGGTATCGTCGTCAACATGGTCTTTCTGTCTCTCCACAGACTGGAGCAAATACTCAAATTGAAGCACCTTGTGCAACTCCAACTCCAACTGGTGGAACATCCCGTACGTCTCAATCTTGGCGCCGCAAAGAAGGCACGTCTTTCTCCCTCCCGACCTCAACTCAAGGTGTTGCAAATGGTCGTGGTATGTTTCTTTTAGCGTCTTATATCTTTTCATGGTTAACAGGAACTAATCTTATCACTGCAGATCGTCGTAACTCTAATGGCTCATTCGGTCCCATCGGTCCTCCTCACACACGTCGTCTCACAAACTCGTCCTCTGGTGACTCAATGAATAGAAATCATCTTTCTGTCCCAGAGAATGACAATGAGCATGATAACGACACCAATATGCAGTGGGCTGGAAGATTTCGTGGCTATACTAACGGCAACGAACAAAACCGCCGTCAACAATAAGTTGACTTGCCAAAAGTTACGCTCCAACGATATAGATAACTATCTCAGCATCTTCTGCACCAAATTCCTACTTCTATATCTCACTTTCTTCAACATCGGTTCATTAGGCTATACCTCTTTCTCACTAAATACGATTTGGTTGATCATGGTTTCAAATTCAGGTCAATGGCTTCACCAACTAGATGAAGTGCTGATTATGATACATGGACTCGGAGACCTGGGATAAACAAAACTTCTTACTCGCTACTATATCTGGGGTTATAACATTTGGTTTCATTTTTCTTTGTGGGATTTTCATTTTCTTTGGTTACACAAAATTGCTTAGGATTCCATCATAACAGCATAGTCTGCATATTCGTTTCTACTCTCGGGTTTTGCATCTACACAAATGGCGATGGAGATATTATATGCCCTGGCGGTGTGTAATGAAATGAACGGATGGATGGGCAGGCTGGTGGGTGGGTTGGATAATTTGGATGATTAAATGAATGGGATGGATGATATGGGAATTATGATGATAACGATTAAGAAGGGTTTTTTATGGCAAACATATCAGATAAGGGTCATGAAAAGCGTCTATAAATCAATAGGATGATGGATGTTATGGGTAGACGACAACAACATTTTGGGCACGCAGCTTATTCTGCACCGGATGCCTACTGGATAGTACCCCCAATTTCTTTGCAATTACCTGCTTTGCGTTGATGGATGCGATTTCTGCTTGCTGTGAGATGTCTTGTGTTGTGTGATGTGGTGTGATAACTCCTTATATACGGGACTAGAAAGCCGTGCAAGCTGTCTTCTTTTTGCTAGGGCTACTGTTCTGAAGCTTTTCAGTATAGATAAACTCATTCAAACTAAAATTCCTTGAGTCCTGTTCATTGAAGATGAGGGTCCGAACGAAGGTTAGAAATTGTATCGGATGTTGATTGAAAAGTACAAGCTATGGGCTTTGAGTATGGTGAGGCAGATTCGAAGCTTGGTTTGGCTAGTAAGGACGGCGAGGGTAGGAAGAATTTCGATGGATTCTCTGGATTGTTGAGTTACTAATGAAAAACAATGTGTTCGGGAGATTCTTCTGAGCATTCTGTTGATGGGACTCTACAATTTCCTCAGGGATTAAGTTCAATACATAAAGCAAGTGAGGAATCATGTTTGAAGTATAAAAATATTCATTATTTTGCATATCATTCATAATGTGGTAGCGACATATTACTCAAAATGACAACACCAAACGAACTCCAATGTCAAATCTCCTTGATTCATTTTCCACACGGATGCAACAGCCAAATTCTCATCTCAAATTTTCCCCAATCTCTTAATCCATGGTCCTCTGTTAGTCCACTCTTCTTCTTCCTCCCCGTCTCCTATTTCTCCAACCATCTTATGACCACTACTCCCCTCCTCACCCCTCTTAAAAATAACAATCGCCGTATTAGGATTCTGACATAAGCCCTGGAGCGAAAGACATTTATTAGTAGAACAACAAGTTCTCATGCATGCGGAACCGATGCCGCAATCGGAGTCGATGGCGCAGGAGGAGAGGGCTGCGCAGGGGGTATCGGCCATGCAGTAGCCTGTGCCGTTTACGGTCGGTTCTAGGAGAAGAGATGGGTTAGTGGATTTTTATAATGGGAAGAAATGGAGAAATGGGGAGGTGACATACGACATAAGCAGGTGTTGTCTGAAGAACAGTATTGATTTTGACGGCAGGCGGATGGGGCGTTACATGTGGCGATAAGGGGAGAGACAGGGGGTCGAGGAATGGGAGATGGGGATGAGGTGAGGAGGGAAGTAGAGGTGGGAGAGCTGTTTGTAACGAGTCGGGATGTAATGGTGGAGAATGTGGATGAAAGGGATGTCGAAGAGGTGGTTGAAGAAGATGATAGTATTGATGTCGAAGTGGAAGAGGTGGTTGAATATGATGATAGTATTGATGTCGAAGTGGAAGAGGTGGTCGAAGAGGGAATGGTAGATAAAGTGGTGGAAGTCAGTGAAGATAAGGATAGAGAGGTCGAGATCGTTCCCGAGACTAAATTAGAAGAGGGTATTGAGAATCCCGTGCCAGTTGAGGATAAAGGTGTAGTATAAGATAATTTCAAACTGGAAACTAAAGAGTTTGAAGATGGGATAGTCGAAAATGTTGAAGGCAATATAATGGAAGAGGGAACGGAGCTTCCTGTGCTTGAGGTAAGAGAGTTTGATGAGGAAGTCGTGGATGTACTTTGGGATGAAGTCGAACCTGAACCAAATGTAATAGAGGGTGAGTTCAGGGTGACTGTCATTTGAGAAGAAGATCCCGATGATAGACTGCTAACGCTAGATATAGGACTGGATGAAAAAGTACTGGGAGCAATTGTAGTAGTAGACGTCAGCACTTCAGTGTTTAAATTGGTAGTGGCCGATGGATTCGTCGATAAATTGATCGAAGTTCCGGGTGATTGAGAGGAAGAAAGTGTTTCGGATGACAAGCTACTGAATGAAAGGGATGAGGCAATGACTGAACAAATTAGCGCGAGAATGAAACAGCAGATAAGAATACATACCATTCATAGAAGTTGAGTTAACCCCTACAGTTGAGCTCGAGCTCAAGCTACTACTAGATGTTAGTCCTTGAACATCAGTGGAAGGAATCACACTGATAGTTTCCACGGTGTTCGAAGCGGGGGTAGAGATCGAGCCTTCAAACGAGGTTCCTAGTAGATTCACAGTAGTGTACTCGGTTACATACGAAGTAGAAGCTGTGATGGTGATAGTAGCTATCACCACGCTCCAGTGACTTCGACATGCTTCAACATACGCGCTATGATTCGGACAAGCACTCGTCGCATATGGCGGCATGGTTTCCGTAGTCGTGCTTGTGATTGCTTCCAGCGTGGTTGTGAGTGTAACATCGTCTCCAGTAACAGTGACTATAACGACGTCTCGTGGTTTTACATCTCTGGCGGTCACATACGCTATATTTGTGCTGGCTTCCGTATATGTGATTTCGTTGAGAACCACTGTAGTGACTGTGACCAAACTTGTTTAATCATTAGTGCTGTATACCCGAGTGAATGATGAATTGGAAGTACCCAGAAGCTATGTATGACGGGGTAACAGTAGTTCGCATGTAACTAAAGCAATCTAATTCTCGTACATCTCTTGCCACATGATCATGAGAGCCACCAACTATATAGCCATAGGCATCGGAACTCTGCCACCGATGTGCATTTGATGAACCAAGAAGGAAGAGGGTAGTCAATAACTTCATAGTAGGGACGCTGGTGGAAGTATTTTGGCAATCTAGATGGATAATCGCTTTTTAGAAACACTTGAGAAACATCACATATATAGCAAAAGGATTGAGAATTGATGTGCTACTTAATCACTTGTAGAAGCTTAGTCGCGTTGCTCCAAAAATCCTCTCCGTGGCATGGTATGGTATGCGTCTTGGAAAGTATGTCGCTCTGGCGTTTATGACGATCGTTGCGGAATAATGTAGACGTGGATACGTGAAGAATGCTGTAGTAGGCGCAACGATCATTGTAATATTGGATTGCTGGACAATATTGAATATTTCTGTCACTTATGCAACAACGAAGAATTGCTAAAACATGGTGTTTGGAATCTCAAATTTATCTTTCGATGGAAAGACAGAGAAGGTAGTTTTTCGACACTGATCGAGATACTGCTAATGTTTCATCGTAACGCAATGTGAAATACAGAAAATTCTCTAAATTGAAAAACTTGAAAACTAATGATGGGTATTTAAGTTGATGATTAAAAGAAAGAAAAATTAATCTATACATAGAGACCCTTAATTGCCCCCATGGACAGGTAAATTCGCTGTCTAATTGACGCCTTCCAATGCACGGTCTTCTGTTCCCCTACTCCATTACCCCCATTTAAATGCTGCTTAGGAACAAAGTTCCCAAGCTTGTGTAGGCATGTTATCGTCAAGGTCGTTACAAATCGTCCATAATCCACCAAATGTAAAGATGTGGTTTAGTACCCCCCATAGAAGGTATAATACATCGTTATGTACAGTCTGCACGCAGGAAGGGCGGTGGCAGTTCAAACGAATCTTCCCCTCTTTCCACCCCCACCGAAAGAATCGTCTCCATGCCCTAGATTTCCTAAATCAAAGAAATCCCCAAAATTTATTTTCCTCTTTTGACCAGCTCCTCTGTTTATCTGTGTCGTCGAAGATCTAGAGTTTAATCGAGACGAATGATTGCTGTGTCTTGCGTTGGTTCGTGAGGGCCGAGTAAGGGAGATACCCGCTGACTGATTACCGAAATTATCATGGGGTTGAGGGCGATTCTTATCTGATAGATCTAAGTCTGACAATAGAATATCAGGATCTTGTGGATATTGCTGCGAAGATCGGAAAGTGAATGTGCCTTGTGGAAGCGCTGTAATGGTTGGAGGTTCTGGGTCGGGCAAAACAACGGCCGCAGGTGGAGGCGCTGTTTCTGCGCTCATTGGAGAAGCAGTTCTTGTTGGTTTAGAAGTTGATGCCGAAATATGACTCGAACTTTGCGATCTTTGAATTACTGGTGATGATCCCCTATCTCCTTTTTCAAGAACCTCGTCATCGCTGTCGTTGTGTGATGCTGTGTCCCGGCCATCTAATCTCTCGGTCGCCCATCTTCGGATCCTCCAACCCTCGCCATCGCTCAGCCCAATATCTTCTTTATCGAGGAAACTCAAGAGTTCATCCAGTGCATCTTGGTAACCTTCAGCCCTAGCTCTTCCTTGGTCTGCAGCGGCAGTTTTATAGAGATTGGTGACGGATAAAGCGGCAGCTTTGAACTGTGCGATAAGAACTTGTTGCGGAGGTTCGCTGTTCAATTGTTTTGAAGGTGATTTGCCCCCTGGAAGGGAGGTATTCAGAGATCTCATAGAGTCCATGATTGTTGTTGGAAATGAGTTTGTACTGAGATCTGTAACAAAGGTGGAAATTAGTCAGATGATGGGTTCCACGGGTAGGCGCAGGATTATATAGAATGTAATGACCCTTGATTTTAGCCTAGCAACGTACCTTTTCGTGGCGAAGGAATCGCAGGAATCCGATCAAATGAAATAAATGATTCAAACAGCTCTCGTATTCAAGTTCAATAAAGAAGAAGAACTTGAAATTATAACTATGACTCCTTAATAAGGATTCGAACAGTTTCTGTGCTGTGGAGTGGAGGAGGTTCCGGTTGATTTTTGAAGAGACAAAGAGCAATGTCTTTTTCTCGGCCCGTGCTCTGTGAACCACGGCATAGCAGTTAATCCGTATTCCGTGATCAGTGCCGCGTCCATTCAACGCCTGTGTTGTAGATTCTATTCAATGAACGCGAAATTCCACTTCAGGTCAATTTCTTAACTTCTGCATCTCAATCTCAACCTCAATCAACAAACAGTATTGCTCTTTTGATTTCAAGAACCCATTCATCATCAAACCCGCGTATACCTTTCCATCTAGCGAAGCACTTTTTCTTCTCGGCGCATAAGTGATACACCTCTTACTATCAAGTGCCCTAGACAGGGTTGAAGCTATATCAAGATGGCGCCAACACGTTCTTCACGCAATAGTGGTGTCGATACAGATATGTCCATGGCAGATGTCTCTGAAGTCAAAGAGCAACATACTGACCCTATGGTATGTTCGGTTTTGGTCTACAATACATTTTATCTAAAAGCCATCAAGGCTTTCTTTCTACGTACATTGTCCTAAAGTGATGATATACTAACTGGCGCATTAGGATGTCGATGAAACCCCAGATTTTACAGAAGATTCTGATACCAATCCCAATACAACAGAGAGCAGCGTTCATGGTGATGCAGGAGATGGACGTAAAAGAAGATCAGAAGCTACTCAATTGCGTCGGAGCGTTTTTGGCAAAAAACATGATCGTCTTGGTGAATCCAAGGTATTTTCACCGGTTTTTACTGATTTTCAAGAGTAACAGCTGATTCATCCTCTCCATTGTAGGAAGACGACTCCATTCGACGTTTTCGATATCTTCTTGGCTTGACAGATTTGTTTAGGCATTTCATCGAAACAAACCCAAATCCACGAATTCAGGAAATTATGCACGAGATTGATCGCCAGAATGAAGAGGCTGAACAGAAGAAGAAAGCTGCGGATAGAAAAGGAGGTGCAGCCAACGAGAGACGCCGCAGAACAGAAGCAGAAGAGGATGCGGAGCTCTTAAAAGACGAAAAGGCTGGAGGGTCTGCGGAGACCGTATTTCGCGAATCGCCAGGTTTCATTCAAGGTCAAATGAGAGATTACCAAGTAGCCGGATTGAATTGGCTGGTGTCTCTCCATGAGAATGGTATCTCGGGAATCCTTGCAGATGAGATGGGTCTTGGAAAGACTTTACAAACAATCTCATTCTTAGGTTATCTGAGGCACATTATGGATATCACTGGTCCTCATCTTATCGTTGTCCCGAAATCTACGCTTGACAATTGGAAGAGGGAGTTTGTAAGATGGACACCAGAGGTCAATGTTTTGGTACTCCAAGGAGCTAAGGAGGAGCGCAATAATTTAATTAACGAGCGACTTATCGATGAAAAGTTCGATGTTTGTATCACAAGTTACGAGATGATTCTCCGAGAGAAATCTCACTTGAAGAAATTTGCGTGGGAATACATCATTATTGATGAGGTAGGACTGTTTGTTCCATGAAAATGATTCTTGCTAACTAAATTAGGCCCATCGTATTAAAAACGAAGAGTCCTCCCTTGCTCAAGTCATTCGTTTATTTAATTCAAGAAATCGACTTCTGATCACTGGTACTCCATTGCAAAACAATTTGCATGAGCTATGGGCACTTCTCAACTTTTTACTTCCAGATGTTTTCGGTGATGCTGAGGCATTTGATCAATGGTTTTCTGGCCAGCAAGAAGATCAAGATACCGTTGTGCAGCAATTACATCGCGTATTGCGCCCCTTCTTACTTCGTCGTGTTAAGGCCGATGTCGAAAAGAGTTTATTGCCCAAAAAGGAGGTTAATCTGTACATTGGTATGTCCGACATGCAAGTCAAATGGTACAAAAAGATTCTTGAGAAAGATATCGACGCAGTCAATGGTGCGGGTGGAAAACGTGAATCCAAAACACGACTTTTGAACATTGTTATGCAACTTCGAAAATGTTGCAACCATCCATATCTTTTCGAGGGCGCTGAACCTGGACCACCTTACACTACCGATGAACATTTGGTCTTCAATGCGGGAAAGATGGTCATGTTAGACAAGCTTCTTACTCGCATGAAGAAAGCTGGAAGTCGAGTCCTGATCTTCTCTCAGATGAGCAGACTTTTAGACATCCTTGAAGATTACTGCGTTTTCCGTGAATACAAGTATTGTCGAATTGATGGTGGTACAGCACACGAGGATCGTATTCAAGCTATCGATGATTACAACAAGCCAGGCAGCGAGAAATTTGTTTTCCTTTTAACCACCAGAGCTGGTGGTCTTGGTATCAATTTGACCAGTGCCGATATTGTTGTCCTCTACGACAGCGATTGGAACCCTCAAGCAGATCTACAGGCTATGGATCGAGCCCATCGTATTGGACAGACAAAACAAGTTGTTGTTTATCGATTCGTCACGGAGAACGCCATCGAAGAAAAGGTCCTAGAACGTGCTGCACAAAAATTGCGTCTAGATCAACTCGTTATTCAACAAGGTCGTGCCCAGATTGCTGCTAAGGCAGCTGCTAATAAGGATGATCTGTTGAACATGATTCAGCATGGAGCCGAAAAGGTTTTCGCGACTACTGGACCAACAGGTACTCTTGCAGAGAAGGGTGCAGACCTTGACGATGATGACATTGATGAAATTTTGAAGCATGGTGAGAAACGTACTGCAGAGCTCAATGCCCGTTACGAGAAACTCGGTATCGACGACCTTCAGAACTTCACATCAGAATCTGCTTATCAATGGGATGGCAAGGATTTCAGTAATCAAAAGAAAGACATTGGTATGACTTGGATTAATCCCGCCAAGCGTGAACGCAAGGAACAATCTTATTCCATGGACAAATACTACAAGCAAGCTTTGTCTACTGGCGGTCGTGTTGCCGATCCAAAACCTAAAGCACCCAAAGCGCCTAAGCAAGTCACAGTTCATGACTATCAATTCTTTCCACCAACTCTACGAGATCTACAAGACCGCGAGACTGCGTTTCATCGTAAAGAAATCGGTTACAAAGTTCCTCTAGCAGACGGTACAGAAGAAGATCTCTCGGATCGTGAGGCTGAACGTAACT